TCGAGAGCTCGCACTCTTTTTAAAGGATCTATATAGCTATCTCTATATATATATATATATATATAAAGAGCCCGTAAAAAATTTTATTTCGATAAAGAAAATCTTATATGATTTGTGATTGACAGTCTCACGAAAAAAGGAAACCGTCAGTCACTAAGTACAACTCATGCAAAAAAGTCTAAAAAATATTATTTCATCGAATATAAGGAGTTTCTAAACAATCTCCATGAATAAGAATAGAAAGCTCTCGAACCAAGGATATGAAGTCTTGTTTCTTCAATCCACGCTTAGTAGACCAATTTGCACATTGATTTCCTTCGTGATATGTCAATAGTCAATTAACCTGCAAAATCTTAAGTAGAGCAAATATTTTTTTCACTTGAATAATAAAACTCTAAAGATACGCTTTTTTCTTAGTACAATAGTTCCAAAGAATCCATCTCAATATCAATCAAATGCCAACCGCAATTAACGGATAAAGTTTAGAGGTTTGATATATAAATAAACAAAAGAAAACTTTTTTGTATTTGAATAAAAACAAATTTAAATTTTCTTGATTAATTATTTACGCACGATATTTTATTTTAAGTTTAATTTAATGATTTTAAGATCTATTTTGATGAGAATATTTTAAGATTTCTTTTATTAATATCTAAGATGGCTTAATATTAGAATATTTTAAGATTTTCCTATGTTTACAATTAAACTAGAGACATCCCTTGTCAGTAAATGATGCAAGGAAAATGCTTTCTAGAGAAAGTCATCGTTTTATAAATATGGCGATTGTAAGAAGTTGTTGCCAGGAGCTATCGACAGACTTTTGATAATGTGTTATTCATTACTCCATCGTTACATTTTATTCAAAGTATGTTGTTACACCATATTTAGGGTATACCATTACACCATGTTCAGGGTTCTTTGTTATACCGCATTTGGAGTATCTTTGTACCAACATGTTAGGGGTGTTTTATTACGTCGCGTTCAGGGTATTTTATTATATTGCATTCAGGATACTTTATTCCTCTGCACTTTGTTTTGTTACTCTGCAATGTACTTCATTACTCCCAAAAGTCTTCTAACATCTACGAGCAGGGGGCACATCGATGGTGGTAGACGGTTACAAAGGTTAGAAGTTATTGTCATATCTTCAGTTTAGAGAAGCACAGTAAATGATTCCTTCTCCTTCCTCCTCCCCCAATCAAGGTCTAGGTCTAGGTCTCCCTTGATAAAGGGAGTAAGACTCTATATTTAGATTTTGAGAGTGACAACCTCTATAAATAATGCATATATCTGAACTGCTCAATCATAAGAATCTGAGTAATTCTCTTAATTGGAAGACATGTTATGGATATTTTAAAAACTTAATGATGTCAGGATTGAGAAATCTTAGACTTGTTGGATTTGTCTCATCGAGACTCTCAATTTAACTATAAGTTTGTCTGATTTAGAATCTATTTAATCTTCCAATCAACCACTCAAAACTCCAAAAGTGGTTTCACAACTTAATTCGACTTAAATCAAATTAATTTTGGTGTCATTGGGTTCGTCTCGTCGAACCAGCCAATTTGACTATAAGTCAGTTGAAATCATAATTTTGGATTATTTTTAATTTGAATTAGAATATTTTAAAACCCAATAATGTCTCGAGATCTATGCTACTTCTTTGAAAGAATTTCCTTGTGAGCTGTAATTTTCTTATTCAAAGAATCACTAATTCATAGATTCATAGATGCCCAAATTGTTTAAGAACTTTAAGAACACCCAATTGAATGGTTATTATTTAGCAAGAATATGTTTTGGTAAATTATTTCATAGTCCCACAAATTTCTCATCAATTTTTTTCTTAATAAAGAATCTATTTAGACCTAAACAATGCCTTATAATTAGGGGTGTTAATTCAAGTATGTGGATCAGGTTCGGTATCTAATTCGAAACTGACATGACCCGAATAGGTTCAACTCAAATTCGATCTGAATATCATACATGTTGACTTAAACCTGAACTCGACTCCACCCAGACATGGGTAGCCCGACCAGTTTAATATTGGTGGATAACCATTCGGGTCAAAATTAAACAAAATCAGGTCAATTTAGGAAAGGCTGGCCGAATTCAATTAGAGTTCAAGTTGGCGGGTCATTTTTGGGTTGGCCGGTCAACTCCAACCCAACCCAACCCAAACCAAAAAATTAAACATGTTAAGTAACACAAACCAGAACCCAAACCCGAACCAAAAATTATTTGGGTTAACCCGAACCTGAATTTTTCAAGTCGAGTTAC